GCAGCTCTCCTCTGTCCTGTGGGGTCACTGTGAGTCGGAATCCCTGTGGATAGGCAGCTCTCCTCTGTCCTGTAGGGTCACTATGAGTCGGAATCGACTCGACAACAGCAGGTTTGGTTTTTGGTTTTGTGAGTTTTTGAGGGTGAACTTGAAGTTAAGTAATAGTTGCTTTCTGCACTGATTTTAGAATCTAACCACCAAATAAGATACAATTCTGCTCGTTAGATTGAATGTTGTATTCATATATTTCATTGTAAACTGTTTAACACTTCTCAGAGAGAGCATTAAGTCTGAGAGTTGAACTCTTAAAAGATCAACATATTGTTGCTTTTGACTAAATACAAGTTTCTCTGTAAACACTCAGAAGTTGGTCCTCAGATTTTTAGACATCACTTTTGCATTCTGTAAAGTTTGCAGGAGGTACTGTGTGTTTAATGGTGCATATTTTAGAAATTCTAGATTCATTTTTAAAAATTAAGTAGGTACTTTCTTGTGTATTACTCAAAAACGGATGCAGTTGTTAATCTGACTCTAGCAGCCTTTCGCCATTTGTTCATCAACAGATGTAGTTTTCAAGTGATTTCAGGCTGTTGGTGCAGTCCCTAGTTGGAATCACAAGATAGCCATGCCCAGCCGTGCCCGGGCGTTCTGTATAGATAGACGAGGGGTGGTGTTACCCTCCACTCCCATTGGAAGCCAGGCCTGGGCAGGTGCTGGAGTAGGGAGATGGGTTGTCAGTGTGAGCAAGCCAGAAGAGGACTGTGGCTTTGTATTTCCTCCTAGCCTCCTTATAAACTGGACCAGACCTGGGTGGTATTGGGGGAGGGGGTAGCTTTCCCTGGCTTTTGTTAGCATCTGGCTCCCATCAGCCTAGCAGGGTGTCCCATGGGGTGGAGTGGGGGAGGGCTGCTCTTGCTCGTGCCCATTCCCGTCCATCTATTCCCATGGGTTGAAACGGAGCAGAGCCACATGAGGGAGTCCACAGCCAGGTCCCCAGGTGACCGGAACCACAGGACCTAGCCAAGTCTCTTATTGCCTCTAAGCCCTGCCTAACATGGAGAGGTAACCCTGTCTGGCCTAGTTCCACAATCAGCTATCTCATACCTCTGGGCCACCTCTCAGTGATGTACCAGAAGCCCCATCTCCAACCAGCATGAAGAGTTCATTTCACCTGCAGTAAGCACACATATTCTGTGCTTCTGCTATGCAGAAAACTCTGGGATGTGTCTCTCCCAGTTCCCCTGGCTGTTTGTGACACATGACGCACATCCATGACCGAGAAAGATCACAGGAAGACAACACCAAGCTGAGCTGTGCACAGGAATGGAAAGCCCCTGAACTGTGGGAAGATGTAATTAAGTACTTCGATATTAAATAAGTTCCCGTTTCTTGGCTGTTTGTTGACAGAGGTTTTTTTTAAGCTACAAAAACGTGACATGCTGCTAGGTTGAGAACACTTCTTCATGTATCCTGAAAGGCTGTTTTGACAGAAATAACCTATTACAGGTCACTGTCACTACAGCATTTTGAAAATTTATTCATCTAATGATACAGGCTTTGTGGTATTTTCAGAGGTTTGTAATCTGAATTAACCTTCCACGTATGATAAATTTGAATCATAAACAATAGAAGAAAAGCTGTTGCGGTGGGAGATTGCCATTAAGATGGCTCTGGGCTTTAAACATTTGGAATTTATCAAATAATGTAATCCTATGGGTCCTATATTGATAGTGTGAACGGTTATTGGAGAATTCAGTGGGGAGGATAGGACTGAATTTCTCTACGCTTTGATATTACCATGTTTACCATGGGCGTTAAATACGTGAGGATCATATCATTCTAACTTGTTTTAGTTTTAATGCAAAAAATACAGTTCTGAATAGTTATAAAATTTATGATACATTTTCTATATGTATATGTATACCTACGGAAACCCTGGTACCGTTGTGGTTAAGAGTTAGGCTGCTGACCAAAAGGTCGGCAGTTCGAATCCACCAGCTGCTCTTTGGAAACCCTATGGAGCAGTTCTACTCTGTCCTATAGAAACGCTTATGAGTCAGAATCGACTCGATGGCAGTGGGTTTAGATATACCTACATTATGTTTACAGCTGATAATGGATAAAAAGAGAAAGTTTTTTTTCAGTAGAAACTGAGTCATGCATTTAAAACATTAATATCGTGTCTTTCATTAAAAACTATTAATCTTCTCAAATTGACAATAGCAACTTGAAAGGTTAAATGAGAAACTTAGGGGGCGGTGAGTTTGTGTTGACGGTGAAACAGTTTGGAATAGGAGGGTGAGAAAGGTAGCACAACTTGGAGAATGCTAACCATTGTCACTGAATTGTACATGTGGGAACTGTTGGATTGATGTATGTTTTGCTGTGTATATCTACACCAAAAAACAAACAAACAAACAAAATTGATCTTCAGAATATCTAGAAATTTTTAGCAGTATTATATTTTTATATTGAGTCAGTCTGTCATTTTGCTCCATTGCCTGGGTTCCAGAATCATTTAGGGTTCCCTGTTTTCCCGGGTTTTGGGAAACTGTTTAGAAAGCTCTTTTTTTCATTAAAATTAGAATGGCAGTAGCACCCACTCCAGTGTATGTTTTCTGGTCCCTACTAGAATAAGAGAAATCAGTTTGAAAAAATTCATCTAAATGTAATGGACTGCTTGGTTACTTGTGGGTTAATTATTTACCCACTGAGGCATATTACAAATTCTTAGATACTGTGTAAAGCTGTTAAGAGGGAATACATTTTAAATCACCTCTTTAACTTCTTTTGACGTTTACTTAATTTCTTTGACAATTCCACATTTATTGACCTTTTACAGAAAATTTATCAGAAAAGCATTGTGGTTTGAAGTTTCTTTGCCAAGTTTGGATGAGTGACCAGAAATGTGAATTAAATAAAATCACCCAGATGTTTTCCTTAATTTAGGGAAAATACGAATTAAACACAATACAGAAAGGTAGTTTAGTGTATATTAGGGTTTTGAATCTAATATTTCTCCTGAGAATGGAGGGTAAAAAAAAAATTGATTCCAAGATGTGTTCTAGTTTATGTTGAGTTAATGCTTCGTACTCTAGCTTAATTGTCTTAATGTGCTCATGAATTTCCAGAGCAGCAGCTATAGCTTTAATGAAATATAAATGTAACTTATATTTCAGAGTTAATATGGTTTCTTTTTTAAGTTTAATAATAACAACTTCATACCAAGTTTTGAGTGCCTATTTTATATAGACTTTTTGAGGTGGACATTAATATCGCATCTTCCTGATCAGGAAGCTGAGGTTTAGAAAGATGAAGGAACTTCTCCAAGGTCATTCATTCTTCTAACCCATGTTTATTGAACATTTTATATCAGCATTGTCCTTGCATACAGCCATGAACAAGACAGGCAAGATCCCTGTGCTCATGGAGCTTCTATTCTGATAAATAGTGAACGCAATTTCACCTGTGAGATTGCATTAAACATTAGTTGCAGTCTCTGGGTTAGTATGAAAAAGAGAAGGTGACATTTGAGCAGACACCAAAATGAAGTGAGAGAGGTCACATCAGAGGAAGGATTCCAACCCAGGCCTGTCTGGTCCCAAAGCTATATTACTGTGGGCTCTCTGATACTTGAAGGAAATCCTCTGCTTTTGTACCATCTGCACAGATGGCCTAGGCAACCTAAAAAAGCAGATCAGAACCTTTATAGGATCCCAAGCACCACAGGGCAGGAAGCCAGGGTATCACTATATAACAAATTACTCTAAAACTTTGTGGCTTAAGACAACAATTGATAGTATAATTTCTTGTGGTTTCTGTAGGTCAGAGATTCAGACAGGACACAGTGAAGATGGCTCGTCTTTGTTTCTCAATGTCTAGGGCAGTGGTTTTCAACTAGAGACAGTTTTGCCCCTGAAGGGACACTTGACGATGTCTAGAGACATTTTTGGTTATCTCGACTGGATGTTGCTACTGGTATATAGAGGGTAGAGGCCAAGGATGCTGCTAAACATCCTATAATGTACAGGACAGCCATCTATAACGAAGGATTATCTGGTGGTTGAAGAACCCTAGTCTAGGGCCTTTGCTGGAAGACAGGGACCAGAGTCATCTGAAGTTGTGTTCACTTGTCTGGCATTTGATGTTGGGGCAGCCAGCCAGAGCACCACACGTGGCCTCTTCATGTGACCTGGGCTTCCTCATAACATGGTGGCTGCATTCCAAGAGCAAGGGGAGGGGGAGCGCACACACATGGGTCAAGTGGAAGTCATGCTGCCTTTTATGAGCTAGCCTTGTCACTTCCATGGTCTTCTATTGTATGAAGAAGTCACAAAGTCTCACTGTGATTCAAGGGGAGGGGAAGTAGACACCACATCTTTATGGGAAGTAGCAAGGTTCTGGAAGAGCATGTAGGGCTGCAAATATTACTGTGACTATATTTGGAAAATGTAATCTGCCCCACAAAGTCAGTCACTTCCCCTTCCCACAGAAGGGGTTAAGGAGCTGACCCACCTGGGTGGGCCTTACCTTCCTGTATGATGGTGTTAACATAATTGTTTATAGCTATTTGTGTGGGAAGAAGGGACAGTAAGAAAAGTGTGAAGACGAGAAGCGTGAGTGGGAGGGGAAGGTTGGGTCACTGAAAACCATAGAGGCGTAGTGGCTTGACCCTGCACAAGCAACAAAGTTCCTGTTCAGGCTGTGGGTTTGGGTTGACAAGGAAGCACTCTAATTAGATGACCCCACCATAGGTCTGCAGCGCCAGGATGGTGGTCTGTGGAAGGCTGAATTCAGTCTACAAAAGCTTGTTCAGGTTTATCATGCCTTAAAGTGTGACTCAAATGAAAATCAAATATCTGGAAGTCAAAAACTGTCTGTAGAACACTCCTTTGTCTTAATTCTCAATTGTGGTCATCTTTCAGTGGCCTCTACATCCTAAAAGGAGCCCTGGTGGCGCAGTGGTTAAGTGCTTGGCTGCTAACTATAAGGTCGGTGGTTCGAACCCACCAGCTCCTCTGCAGGAGAAAGATGTGGCAGTCTGCTTCTGCATAGATTACAGCCTTGGAAACCCTATGGGGCAGTTCTACTCTGTCCTGTAGGGTTGCTATGAGTCAGAATTGACTCGACGACAACAGGTTTTTTTGGTTTATACATCCTAGTGAAGGACAAAAATAACAACTTTTAACATCAACCTATTAGTGTACTGATGCAAGAACGTACACTTAAGTATACTGTTTACAAGGGGCTGTGAACCAGAAGTTTTGGCTTAAACATCAAAAGTGTTTTCATTATAATGGCATATTAACGTTTCAGTCTGCTTTGCTTTGATTCTATTTTCTTCTACAAAATAAAGACAAATCTTATATTTCATTTCTGTGTTTTAGATTTTGCTAAACATACTGACTTTCTAGAAGCCATAAGTGGTGCCTTGAGGGCCCTTTTGCAAACAATGGCCTCCAAGAACATTTCTCAGGTAAGAGTTTTAAATATTCATTTTCATTACAAGGATAATGCATCATCCTTATAAAAAGAACTTCATGAGTTTGTAAAGTAGAAAGTAAAGTCTCTTCCTCCTCCCCCTCAACACATACACAGGTGATTTTTTATTGATTGTAGGATCTCTTTCTATATAACTTTTTGTTTGATGTATATGTTATGAATGTATTCTCTGAAGGTTATTTGTCTTTTTAACGTTTCATTCCAGAAATTTTCACACACACCCTCCTGACCCTCCCCAGCTCTTCATATGCACCTCTCTGATAGGCACCTTACCACTTTGTTTTTTTTTTTACTTTTTATTAAGGAGATTTTCAAACATTCCTAAAAGCAGAGATAACAGTATAATGAGCCCACATGCCTCCAGCATGAAGCCTCAACGCTATCACCATCCTGCCATTCTTGTTTCATTCATACCCCTACTTTTTTCACCTGGAGTATTTTATAGACATCATATCATTTCCCCCAGCAGTACTTTATTATGTACTTCGTTATGTGTCTCTGACTGAAAACAACTTTGAAAAAAAAAACAACATAACCACAATACCATTCATCAAAACCCAAAAACTAACAGACATTTCTTTATTATTATCTGATATGCTGTTGAGTTCAGTTTTCCCTGATTGTCTGAAAAATGTCATTTTATACTTCGATAGATAGGTCTCTTAATCTGTTAGGTCTGTAACATTTCCCCTCCCTGTGTTCCTCCCCTATTACTGTTTATTCATTGAAGAAACCCACTTGGTCTTGTAGTTTTTCCACATTCTCTGTTGTGGCTGATTTATCATGATGACGTGGTTTAACATGTCCCTCTATCCTCCATGTTTCCTATAAACTGAGAGGTAGGTCTAGAGGCTTAATTAGATTCAGGTTCAGATTTTTTGGCAAGAATAAATCATAGGTGGTACTATATGTGTTTTCAGTTTTTATGTCACAGATCATATAATGTCTGTAAATAGTGATTAATCAATGGGTTCACCTAATGGTTTTAGCAACCAGTGGTTCGTTATTCCATTAGGGGTTGCAAAATGGAAATATTCTAATCTTGTCATTCTTTTCACATTTGTTATCTATGATTCTTCTGTAAATAAAGAATTTTCTCTGATTAATTACACAGTTTATATAAAACATTGTACAAAACAAGGGTAGGATCAGTCTATTGTTTTCCTCTTCCCTCCTTTTTTTCCCCCAGAATAATGAGTTGATGCCCTATAACCTGTGAAAGTGGCCGTGAAGTTTTGTTTTTAGTGTCATAGTGAACTCGTGGTTTTTTGCATATTTGTATTTTTCTATTAAAGTTATTCTTTTTGATGTAAAAATTATCCCATCTTTAGACTGGAGGATCCCCTTCAAATTGGCTCCTGTGTCTCTTTGACATGCATCCAGTCGCTTTGATAGCTTTTCTGCTTCCAGGCACAAGACTGGACTCATCTTGTATACCCCTCCTCACTTATCGACATGGTCAGGTTCCAAAGACCAGGTTGTTAGGCAGAAATGATGGTAGCCTAAGCCTAACCAAGACTGTATTTGAGAGTTTACTCAGTGCACAAGAGATGGTCTGAAATGAATGAAATCAGATCACAAAATGGAGGATGACTACATCATTACATAACTGCCAAACCACTGAGAATCCTGGCCCAGCCAAGTTGACACATGACCTTAACCATCACAGCCAGAGTTACTCGCACCTCACACCTCGGCATTCTTTACTGCCATCGTAACTAACAGCAACACCACTGAATGTAGTTCAAGGTTTCAGTGTGATTGTTTTTGCCCATAGGGTATAAACCTGTAGGGCTGTGCAGTTAAATTACTGTGTTTTAAAGTTGCTTAAAAAATTCTTCTCTGTTTAGTTTGTTACAAAGTTTGCTTCATTTCCTGCTGCTTTTTTTTTTTTAGGGATTACTTTTTTGGCTTGCTTTAACTTTTATTTTTTAATTATATAAAATACACAGTTTCAGAGTTAAAACTGTGAATCAAAATATATTCAGAGAGATCTGGCTTCTGCCCCCTTGCCCCGGTTCTTTCCGTCCACTGTTGGTAATAATCCTTTTTAAGTTCTGATTTATCGTTGTTCTTTTATTATATATAAGCAAATATATATATATATTCATATTTCATCCCTTTTCATAAAAGCAGTATTTCTGCACATTGCTCTTTTTTTCTCACTAAGTGATTACATCATGATAGTATATAGAGATCTTTCTCATTTTTTTTAAATAACGTAATACTCCATTGTGCAGATATTCCATAGTTTGTTCAACCTGTTTGCCTGGTACTGATGAACATTTGAGTTGTTTCTGGTCTTTTGCTATTACAGATAGAACTGTGATGAATAACTTGTTTTCTACATGTTATTTTGTATTTTTGCCATTGTGTCTTTGGGATCGATTCCTAGAAGTGACCTTGGTGGGTCAAAGAACGGATGCATTTGTAATGTGCTGGGTATTGCTGAGTTGCCCTCCTTAGGGTTTCAGCCATCTTGCACCCCTACAGCAAGGTATGCGAGTGCCTGTTGTGCCATGGCGGTAACAGTGTGTATCAAACTGTTGGGTTTTTGTCAGTTTGACAGATGAGAAAATATATCTCAATTTTAATTTGCACTTCTCTTGTTAAGAGGTTGAACAGCTTTCCACATGTTTTAAGGGCCTTTTCATTTCTGTGTCAGTGACTTTCATTTGACCATTTTTCTACTGGGTTGGTGGTCTTTTTCTTCTTTGTACATCAGGGCAGATTCTGGGACCTCACCCTAGACCTACTGAAGCAGAAACTTCCTAACAGTCCATGTTTTACTGAGCTGTCTGGGTGATTCTGCTCAAGTGTGAGGCCCACTTTCTAAGCCATTGTCCCTCCTTCCTTTCCACAATCCTGTTTTGATTGATGTGTCTAGACCGTACCATCCGCTTCTGGTTACAGTTATCTGCCACCCCCTGGGGCATTCCTCTTTCCGTCAAGATTTCTGCTGGCAATTCACCGTCACGCCTCACTAGGTGACATCGTAATTTTAGGTGACTTCAGCGTCCACATAGATGATCCCTCCGATAAGCTGAACTTGCAGGTGTCGGGCCTCTTCTTCCTCAGCGGGCCTGTCTTCCATCCTTGCTGAGCCGTGCATTCTATGGTTGCACCTTCAGAAACAGTGTTTCCCCACTTGATCTTGTTCCAGAGTTTAATGAGAATGCCTCTGGTGTTTTGCTGTTAAATATGATGTATGCTGTTGGCTTCTGGTGCCCATACCCATTGCTGCCTAGTTGATTCTGACTCACAGGGGCTCCACAGGACAGAGTAGAACTGCTCCATAGGGTTTCCGAGGCTGTAAATCTTTACAGAAACAGACTGCCACATCTCTCTTCCGCAGAGCAGCTCAGTGGGTTCGAACCGCTGACCTTTAGATTAACAGCTGAGCGCTTAACCACTGTGCCACCAGGGCTAGTAGATACTCTTTATTTAAAAAGTTTCTTCCTGTATTTGAGAATTTTTTTAAGGACATAACTTCTGATGCTCAGTTTCTGTGAAGTCGGAAGGGTGGTAATACGTGACCTGCTGGGTTGCTGTTGAGAGGATCAGAAAAGCGTATACTGTAGGACCTGTAGGAATATTTTCCATATTCTGTAAAGTATTTTTAATGATTTTCCATGGTGTGCAGGCAGTGACTTACTGGTTCAATCTGGTATTAAAGAAAATAACTGTAGGCTCATGCTTATTTAATGGGAAATCATTCATATATTAAGGTAATAATTTTAATTTCCCAGGTTGACTACGTATTGTGCATGACCATAGAATTTTAGAGTTAGAAGGGTACCCTCATTATCATACTTTACAAGGAAAGGAAACCAAGGGCTAGATTTGCTGAGTGACATGTTTAAAGTCTCATAGCTAATTCAGCACTGGGACTGGAAGACATCTGTTCTTCTTCCCTGTCTAGTTCTTTTTACTGTATAGGTTTGTACACTACCTGGTACACAGTGGGCAGCTTATATCTGTGAGGCATTCGGGTAATAAGGCAGCGCACTCTCATTATTCACAGCAGCCTTGTCCTAGCTATAAAAAGTCTCATAGTTTGCAGAAGATTTGTCCTTTGGATGTTTTCTGAGATGCCTGGCACACTGGATTTGTCAGAAGTAATGAAATGATTCACGAATGAGTTTGATGATTTAGAACTGTGAAGTATTTTTATAAATAACATAGCTAACATTTAGTGAGTATATGCATTATCTTACTTAATCCCTGTAGCAGCTCTGGGCGAGGATTAATTTTATCACTGATTTTACTGACTGAGGAAATGGAAAATTTAGTGGGATTAAGTAATTTGTGCTGGATTGCCTAGGGGTAAGTAGTGGAGCTAGGATTTGAACCCAGGCCATCGGACTGCACACCTCAAGCCCTTAATCACCACACCGTGTTGCCTGTACAGTAGATGGCCTGGTAACATGACATTTGCACTGGCTGGTTCATGATACCTGCTGCCGAATATGTGTTCAGATTAACTTAAAGTGAGAATTATCACTCCATGGTGGAACACTGTATCATTTAATGGTTTTTGCAGTCTTTAATATTTTACGATAACACGTACATCCCAAAGGAAGTTCTTACCTTGTGTAAAAAAAGAAATAAAACCAAGCTTTTTTCCATCAACTCATTTCTGACTCATGGTGATCCTATGTATTAAAGAGTAGAACTGCTCCATAGGGGTTTCCTGGCTATACTCTTTACGGAAGCAGATTACCAAGCCTTTCTTCTTCTGCACTACTGGGTGGGTTCAAACTGCCCACCTCTAGGTTAGCAGTCGATAGCAAACTGCTTGGGCCACCCAGGGACCTTAACTTTGTATACCCCTTGCCATCAAGTCGATTCTGACTCATAGCAACCCTATAGGACAGAGTAGAACTGCCCCATAGGGTTTCCAAGGAGTGGCTGGTGGATTCGAACTGCCGACCCTTTGGTTAGCAGCTGAGCTCTTAACCACTGTGCCACCAGGGCTCCCTTACCTTGTATAGAGTCAGCTAATTTTTATTAAAGCTGCATAATACTATTTACGTTTTTCCAAACCTTTTTTGATGATTAGTATTAAAGCAAGAAATTACAATCTCTAGTCTATGTACATCTGAATTAAAGGAAGTCTTTTTCAAATAAAAGTAATAGGAACTGAAGCCCCTGTGTAGACTTGCAGCTTTGATACAGTAGACAGTGGCAGTGACATCATCAGGCCTCAGCTTAGTTTGGAGAACACAGCTAGAGCTGTATTTGGGAATGATGAGAATATGTAGTATGTCCTCTGCTAGAAGCTGATGTCACTTTTGGAAGCTCACAGCCTATAGAAGAGATTTTTGTCAATCCTGTTTTCGCATGCTATTGGAATTGGTTGAGTTTAATGCTGTAAATGCTTTCTTTTCTTTCAACAGTGCATGACTCCTGATCAGCTGATGACATTATGCAAAGCAGGCATTTATAACAGTAACACCGGGGTTAGAGTGAATGTTGTTAGTATCTTAGGAATCACTGGCAGCGTCTTAGCCAAAGAAGATGGTACTCTTGAAACCCTTAAGGTAAAACAGTTAGCTTCCAACCATAAAATGTGAAATAATTAGAAATGAGCAAAGAGTAAATGTTGGTGTAGGAGTTTTTTAAAAGTCTGTGACATCATGGGAAGACATCTAGAAGTTGCTTACGAAGGTATAATATCAGAATATACCCTTCAGCTCTATCTACTGACATGTATTAGATAGGTCCTTGAAAAGCTGAGCCACATTTTGCCGTTTAATTTTACTCCAGACTTAACTTTTTCAAAAGTAAATTTGCCTTCAGTGAAAGGCCAAATTCAGGATTTCTAAATATGTCTTCTTCCTTTGCTGTTGCTTAAAATGTAAGCATATTATATTTTCCTACTGATAAAGGGACGAGCCACCCAGTTTTCTTTGCACTCTGGGATAAAGTGCATGTAAACAGCACCACGCAGTTATTCCAGTATCACTCATGAATTTTAAGCAGCAACTCTGGTGGTGCCCCTCCCTGAGGCATTCAGTCTGCACCTCATCTCTGCGCAGTTGCTTGGAAACTGCACTGCAAGAGGTACAGCATCACTGGTTACTGAAGAGAGTAAAATTATCCTTCGTTGTGCTGATAATAATTAACGCATTGGTTACTAATGGGCAATCAACTGATTTGGTAAAGTACTTCTTAACCTGCTAAGAATTTTATAATTGTCACCTAATTTTTAAAAATTGTCTTTACTGTGGTAAAAACATACATAAGAAAACATTTGCCAGTTCAACAATTTTTACGTGTATAATTCAGCAACATTGGTTACATTCTTCATATTGTGCAACCATTATTACTGTACTTTTCTGCATTATCTCACCACTATTAACAGAAACTCAGTGCCCCCTGAGCAGTCAGTCCCCCTCCCCACTTCACTTCTTCCCCTGGAAACCACTAATAGGGTTTGGTTTCTATATATTTGCCTGTTTTATATAAACGACATCACGTGTCCGTTTTGTGTCTATCTTACTTCACCCAGCGTGGTGTTTTCAAGGTTCATCCATGCTATGGCATTACCAGAGCTTTGTTTCTCCCTCTGGCTGAGGAGTAGCCATTGTATGCAGGTACAAGGTTCATCCATGCTATGGCATTATCAGAGCTTTGTTTCTCCCTCTGGCTGAGGAGTAGCCATTGTATGCAGGTACAAGGTTCATCCATGATATGGCATTATCAGAGCTTTGTTTCTCCCTCTGGCTGAGGAGTAGCCGTTGTATGCACGTACAAGGTTCATCCATGATATGGCATTATCAGAGCTTTATTTCTCCCTCTGGCTGAGGAGTAGCCGTTGTATGCACATGCAACTTTTTGTTTATCTGTTGATGGAGGTGAGCAAATCTAAGAACTGTTTTTTAAATGATCCATGCAAATAGCAAAAAATTTAGAAAAGTGCCAAAGAATATGTAGTGAAAAGACTCATCTCTCCTTTAAATTCCCAGTCCCCCACTTCACCCAGGAGAGACAGCCACTGTTAATCGCTTTCTTCCGTATCATTCTAGGGATAGGATATATATGCAGATACAAGTAAGTGAGAGAATCTGGCTACATGGCTATGAATGTGTACACATCTATAGATGAATCTGTCTGTGTATAATTCTTCTGCACCCCTGAAGACTATAATTTCCAAGATCCACTTCAGAGGAACAACAAGTGTTTTTCAGGCATAACATAAGATTTTTTAAATGTTTTCATTATTCATTTTTACAAACATGAAGAAAGGTAGAAAGTGCAGTGAATTTTGTGTACCCATCAAGTAGATTTAACAATTGTTAATATTCTGCCATATATGCCTCCTATAGATTCTTTGCAGCGTGCATTAAAGTCTGTTAAAGATATCATGTATTTTGCCCTGTTGGTTCAGTGTGTATCTCTAAAAGTGGACAGTTTCTTACATAACTGCATTTATCACACCTTATGTAACAGTAATTTCGTAATATGTCTCCTAACCAGTCGATATTGAAATTTTTCCAAGAAAATGAGATTGCGTTGTATTCTTTATTTTTTTTTGTTATCTTAGAGCATTTTTCATATAATTTTAAAAGCAGAGGGTTTTTTTTTTTTTTTTGCTGTTGTTGTGGACAGAGTTTCTGTACATTTTGACACCACGGGGAAAGCTTTCTGAGGGAGGTAGAGGGGAGAATTTAATGATTTACAAAATAATCTTTCATGCATCATTTAAAGTGCTTTCTTTGAAGGCTCGCCCTAGAATATCAGACTCTAATGATGTGTGTTGTTGTCTCCAGACCATTGGGTGCTGTCTGCTTGAGGTCGCCACCAAAGACCCTTCCCTTGTAGTAGCAGGAGAAGCTCTGGATGCCCTCTTTGATGTTTTTGCAGATGGTAAAGAAGCCGAAAAAGCTTCAGTTCAAATTAGATTGTTATCTGCTCTGAAAGAATTCCAGCCAGTCTTCAAAATGAAGGTATGTAGCCGTTTTATTTAGAAATGCAGGTCTCAGCATTCTGTGGAGATGGGGGTGTAGATGGTTACCATCGTGCAGTTTGGTGGTTTCCGCATGATGAATCCCTGCAGATCCCCGTGATTAATACAGCATCTCATCCCCCACGCTTTGTAAAATCCTTGTTCCTGTTGAATCACGGTAACTCGAGGCCAAAATTGTGTCTGACAAGTTCCTCTTTTCTTTAACGGTTCATTAATGTTAGCAGCACTTCATGTATATAAATACTAGAGTCTGTAGCTTACAAAGCACTTCACATTCTGTAAAATGGGTCTAGCATCAGCAGTAGCATCAGAACCTGTCTGATTTCAAGGAGGATAATGTGAATCAAGATCAGCCCAAGGCTGATCCCTATGAGGTGAAGTTTTCAGATACACCTCCGCTCTCCAACGTTTTCATCAATTCTGACATCAGCCATCCTTCCCATGGCACTCTCTACTTCTCTTCTGTGTTCAATAATCCATTGCAGTGGGTCACACAGAACTCAGGGACCATACTTACAGTTAAGTGGTTTATTAAGGAGCAGGGTACAACTTGGGATCAGGATCAGGAAGCATATAGGCAGAGTCCCCTTCAGTGCAGGACGGCTCTCTCAGCTCCTCTCAGCAGGACAGGTGCCCCCGGGGACAGGCTCCTCTTGGCCCTCTCGGGACTGGCTCCTCTCAGCCCCACCCCCCGAGGACACGCAAATAAAAACATTATTCGTTTGTTTTTAAATCTTATCAAAGAATGGACTTTACTTTTGTTGTGTTCCAATATGTATTTCTTTTGTCTAGCAAGCTCCTAACACAGAATTCAGTTCTCATGGAGAGAGCCCTATGATGAGTTTTTAGGTGAATATGATGGTATTCCTAAAAATTGGAATTTTCTGAAGAAAATTTAAGGCATTAAAAAAAAATAGCTTTCTTTTTCAGAAGAAAAGTAGCAACACATGCAGTGCACATTCTGTGTCTTCCTTCGCCTGAAGTCAGTGTTGGTTTAAGAACATTGTTACTGGTTTGTTCCTAACATTTTCAAGTTTTAGCGTGTTACATTTACAGTTTTAGGAATAGTGGCTACTATTTATTGAGCTGAGTTTCACCAGTAGATGTGACTTAATTCTCAAAAAAAAGTTGACAGTTTACTCATAATCATGCTTTGTTCAGGCTTGTGGTTTTTGTAAAATATGTATACAATGAATAAAATTTTATATGTATAAAATGAAGGGACAGTTGCATTAAAAGCTGTGCCGTGTATTTGTTTTTTTTGGTGAAGGTATACACAGCCAAAGATAACGCCATTTCAGCACTTTCTACATGTATAATTCAGTGACATTGGTTTCATTCTTCAAGTTGTATGACCATTCTTCTGTCCTTTCCCAAATTATTCCACCACTGTTATCTTAAACTCACTACCCCCTAAGCTTCCCATCTAACCTTTCAAACTACTGTTGTCGATTTGATCTCATACGGATAATTCTTTAAAAGAGCACAATGCTCAAAACAGATGTACTTTACTAATTTGGAGAAGCGATTGTTCAGTATGTGCTTTAGCCCAGATTGCATTTAAACACAGTACAGTGCATCTGACTGAAGAACTTCTCTAGACCAGTGGTTCTCCAGCCAGCCCTGGATCTGCTGCGTCAGCATCAGCTGGTAACTGGTGGAGATGCTGATCCGCAGGCGAACCCAAGACCTCCGAAACCCTCCAGTTTGTTTTTTAGCAAGCCTTCCAGATGATACTTTTGTACGCTAAGGTTTTAAAACCACTGCTCTAGACTAGAGGATAGTATGTACCGAAACTGGACGCCATTAATAGAATTGCTCAGATATCCACTGTTCTGTTTTTATGGCAGTGAGACCGAGTTCAATCTATATCAGTCTGTTTGCTGATAACACTGTTCGGTTTGAAGGTATCTTTTTTTTTTAATTGAGATATAATCAACGTACCATAAAATTTACCTTTTTAAAGTATACAATTCATTCATTTTTGTAGGTATCATTTTAAAGGTACATATTTTTATATGGCTCATGTACTTTTTTCAATTTACCTTAAAAGTGAAAATGTCTTACCAAATTCTGGCAGCTGTCTTGCTCAGAAGATGGTTAAGTATACCCTAAATTAAACACTTTCTTTATCTAAATGAATTAATAATATATACCAAATCACATGTTTTGCTTTTTTGGCAGATGCGAAAAGAAGGGAGAAGTAAATACAGTCAGGAGCAGCTGTGTGTTCTCGACAATGTGAAAATGAATCTGAGAAGGTTTATCACTTACCAAGAAACTGTTGAGAAAAGGCTGACTTCTTGAACCATGGAAGAAGAGACAGTTTTTGCCCTTAAGTGTTCAATGCTAAGAATACTAAAAGGTTTCCATTGAAAGTACCAATATTCTAGACATTAATTTGAAGTTCATAAAAACTTGAAAACCTCTCAAGAACTTTATCTTTTAAGCTCCTGGGTCTGGGTGGCGTTTCCAGCCCTCTCTGATCAATTCTGTTTCCAGCGTATTTTAATCACTGGAAGCACAGAGAGTGGAAATGAGGAAGCATGAAGGAGTCTCACGTGATCCTTAACCGACTTGTGAGCAGTGAAAATGAAGACGCTTCTGAACAATCATGTTTTCCTTGAGTTTTTTTTTTAAAAAAAATCCAGAGTATTGGCTGGATGCTCTTTGAAGTCGGTATCATTTTATATTGGCTGAATCTTGAACTGAAAGATGAAGACAAGCTTTATGAAACAGTTTTTGGTATGAAGTTTACTGATTTATGTTTGCCTTTTGTGAAGAAGTGAATGAGTTGAATTTATATTTCACTATTTAGTAGTTATACTAATGAGCTACTTGTCATCCTGTATACAAGATGAGGAGCCCTGGTGGCAAAATGGTTAAAGAGCTTGGCTGCTAACCAAAAGGTCGACAGTTCGAATCCACCAGCTGCTCTTTGGAAACCCGAAGGGGCAGTTTACTCTGTTCTGTAGGGTCGCTGTGAGTTGGAATTGACTCCATAGCAGCGGGTTTGGTTTTGGTTTTTTATCCAAGATGAACTGATCAATTATTGCTTTGTAGCATCCCTCCTTGATTTGATTTAATATGGAATAGGAATTAAGAGATAATATTTTTGAATAAATAACTTTTTAATTGAAACTTTGTGTTACAAAATGTTCTTTAAAATACTAGATAATCCTATTCTTGGGTATTTGCTTGCTAGTGCATATGCTTTAAATATATATGGGACCTTCAAAACAAGGTTTGCAGCAGCAGGGATCTCCAGCTGTAAGGATGCAGTGATGAGGTGACAGTTGGAGCAGGGGGGTGCTTTCAGTACAAGTCGTTGTCTGAGAGGGGCTCCTGTCCGCCTGAACGGGAGGGTTGTGGATGGAGATTTGGAAATTTCCCCACAGTGATCTCAGTTGCCCTGTTAAAAGGCCAGTACCCAGTATAAGACTTAACTTTTGTTTACTACTCTTACAGCTGCATAAAATGAGCTAGCAGTGTTACATTTCATCTGCACTGTAACATATTTTACAGACTCTGTCTGTATGAGATAGATTGTTGGGAAACCAAGATTTCTTCCTCGTTCTGACAGTCACTGAGATTGTAAGACCAGGTACTTGGTGTACTACATGAAACGTCAGATTCAAGGTGAACCATTTTTGAATCCTGATTTGACATGTTAGGGGAAGTGGCTATTAGGTTACACCATTTTGTATTACTAGGCCTGCTTTCATAATCATTTGATTTCATTTTCTAGGTGGGTCTTGTAAGCGCTGTTTTTTTTGCCCCTGAGTAATATGTTGACTGTTGAGCAATCACGACTACTTTTTTTATGTAAATTCAAATTAGGACATACTGCAGCTGAGGCCAAGGAAAACATCAAGGTGGCATTTGGAGGGTGTTGCTAACCAGTGAACAATACAGCGGTGGTTTCAGAAATTTCACCTGGAGGCTTGAGCCTTCAGTGAGCCTCGGGAAAAACCAAAATCTGTCATAAATGAAGACGAATGGAAAGAATTGTGGAAAGCAAGCCCCTGAATAACAGTTTGAACTCTTGCAACAGACTTGGGACTATCTCCTATGACTGTTTCCTGCCATTTGAGTGCCTTAAGAAAAGTGAAAAAGTTGGACAGATAGGTTCCACGTGAATTGACTGAAAATCAGAAATTTTGACTTCTGGAGGTGTGCTCAGCACTGCTAACAGGCGACAAAAACGAGCTTTTCTTGCAGCGTGTCATTACTTGTGATGAGAAGTGGATACTGTTTGACAGTAATAAACTATCTGGGCGATGGTTAGGTGTAGAGCAGTCTCCCAGACATCAGCCAGAACCACCTCTGCGACCCAAAAAGATTATGGTGACTGTACGGTGGTTTGCAAAAGGCATAATCCATTATTCTTTTTTTGCAACAAGGGCAATCAAACAGTGCAAACTCATACTGTCAGGAAATTGATCATATTCATGAAAAACAGATCAAAACAGATAAGACTGGTCAACAGAGATGGATCAATTCTGCCACACGGCAGCGTGCGATCCCACTTCTCAAACCACCCGTTGAAAATCTGAGGAGCGAGGTTATGAGATTCTGTCGCACCCACCTTACTCACCTGACATCTCCCCAATGGATGACCACCTCATCAAGCACTTGGAACTCTTCATACGTAATCAAAGATTCACAAATCAAGAAGCTGTAGTTGAAGCATTTGAGCAATTTATAGTCTCAAAAGATGAAGCATTTTTAAAAGAGGGATATATAACATCACATTGGCACAAGATGATTGAACATAATGGAGCGTATTTCAATTAAATTTGTTTCATCTCAGTTTATAATGCATTTACTTTTCCTTACAAAAACAGACATTTCATGTGGTATCCCTAAGATTCCCAATAAAAAGTGATACGTTATTTGCCATCGAGTCAGTTCTAACTCGCGGTGAAACCATGTGTACGGAGTAGAACTGTTCCGTAGAGTTTCCAAGGCTGTGACCTTCTGGAAGCAGATCGCCAGGCCCGTCTTCCAAGGTGCCTCTGGGTGGGTTAGAACCACCAACCTTGTGGCTGGTGATCCAACACTTAAACTTTGCGTGACCCAGGGACCCATAAAAAGTGATACATGGCATGAAAATTCCTGTTTCTTTATTGTGCTCCTTGATAAATTTTTGGGGAGGTGTGTGTTTTTAGTGATCATCTTAGCTAAATGATGACCCAAACTTTTTATGGTATGAACCCTTTGAGAATAATTCTTCAAATGAAGAAATGTTTCACAGCCACTCAAATAATATATTTATAATTATTTTCAAGGAGGATAAAATCTCCAATTCTGTTTCTCATGCTTTCCAACCTGTAAACATTGTGCAGGGTATTTAGCACAGGACCTAGTACATAGCTGTTAGGTGCTGTTCAGTCAGCTCCAGCTCATAGTGACCCCGTGTGTAACAGAATGAAACACCCAGTCCTGTGCCATCCTCACAATCGTTACTGTGCTTGAGCCCATTGGTACAGTCACTGTGTCAGTCCATCTTGTTGAAGGTCTTCCTCTTTTTCACTGACCCTCTACTTTACCAAACATAATGTCCTTCTCCAGGGACTGGTGCCTGGTGATAACATGTCCAAAGTACATGAGACTAAGTCTCGCCATCCTTGCTTCTAAGGAGTATTCTGGTTGTTACTTCTTCCAAGACAGATTTGTTCATTCTTCTGGCAGTCCATGGTGTATTCAATATTCTTTGCCAACACCGTAATTCAAAGGCATCAGTTCTTCTTCACTCTTATTCATTGTCCAGCTTTCACATGCGTATGAGGTGATTGAAAGCACCATGGCTTGGGTCAGGTGCACCTTAGTCCTCAAAGTGACATCTTTGCTTTTCAACTCTTTACAGAGTTCTTTTGCAGCAGATTTACCCAATGCAATACATTGTTCGATTTCTTGACTGCTGCTTCCATGGGCATTGATTGTGGATCCAAGTAAAATGAAATCTTTGTCAACTTCAGTATTTTCTCCATTTATCATGATCTTGCTTATTGGTCCAATTGTGAGGATTTTTGTTTTCTTTTTGTTGAGGCGCAATCCATACTGAAGACTGTAGTCTTTGATCTTCATCAGTAAGTGCTTCAAGTCCTCTTCATTCACAGCAAGCAAGGTTGTGTCATCTCATATCACCGGTTGTTGACGGGTCTTCCTCCAGTCCTGATGCCGCGTTCTTCATATAGTCTCTGCTGCTCGGCTTATTTGCTCAGCATACAGGTTGAATAAGTAAAGTGAAAGGATATAACCCTGCCACACACCTTTCCTGCCTTTAAACCATACAGTATCCCCTTGTTCTGTTCAAACGACTGCCTCTTGGTGTATGTACAGGTTCCATGAGCACAATGAAGTGCTCTGAAATTCCCATTCTAGTACATAGTAGGCTCTTGGTAAATACTTGTTGAATGAATAAATGTTAGTGATGTTTTATCAAGCAAGCTCTAAAGCAGTTGTTGGATGCAGAGTCATTGTACAAAACAACAGAATCAGTTATTGCGGTGGAAGTGTGCCATCCTAAGAATTTTTAGACTCGGGGGCATAGGTAGTTTGGTCTTTTGTTGCTACCATTTAATTTTGTTATTGTAACGAAAGGGAAATGAAGATTAAATATACTTTACAGCTGTAACTGTTTACATAATAGCTCAACAGAGCCCAAGAGTCTATTACTCATGGCACAATATAATGGAGAAGACATGACTTGGGGAAAAAGAGCCTGCTTTAAAATGCATTTATTTGTAAATCATTGAGAACAGTCCCTAGAAATAGAGACTTGTAAATGTTGGAGTGTCAGTTAATGTGAGGTCCTTTGTGTTAGAGATGTTACATGTTCAACCTGCCGTGGCGTGTTTACCCAAGAAGTAAAAATCACCACTACTCATCCTGTTTTGTTTTTTTTTTTGCATTTAAGACGGAAACTCATTTCAAAATATAATTTATTTTGAAATAATCATTTAATTACATTTCTTTAATGGCAGTTTTATCATCTGCCTTTATTTAGGTTTAAAAAAAAAAAAAAACACCTTTGAGTTGTCAAGTTAGGGAAAGGTCCTTATTGCTCCAGCATTCCTAGTCACCCAGTTCAGTTGTAGGCTTGCCTCCCGCCTTTCTGAAATTGTATTTAACTCATAAATGGGCCATGAGCAGTTTTAGAGTTCTCTTCATCGTATCTAGATATTCTTTGTCCTCAGCAACAACAGCAGTTTGTGCAATAGTATTTTGAAACATTGACTTTTGGAAGCAGATGACTTTCCCTTCCTTGCCATTTCATTTTTATAAAATGTGGATTCTTAAGCTTCTAGTACATACCTAGTCCATATACTTTTTCTCCTTTAAAATAAGGTCTCACTGTCTCTGCTTTGTCAGTGCTTACATCTAAGTCTTTTTAAGTACACCATGATACTGTTTCAACACCCGTTTGTCAGTTTGTCATACTGTGGTGGCTTGCATGTTGCTGTGATGCTGGAAGCTATGCCACCAGTATTTGAAATACCAGCAGGGTCACTCATGGTGGATAGGTTTCAGCAGAGCTTCTAGACTAAGACAGACTACGAAGAAAGGCCTAGTCATCTGCTTCCAAAATTTAGCCAATGAAACTCTATGGGTCACAACAGAGCAGTGTCTTGACTTGCTTGCTTTGGACTCATCGTCAGGAGGAATCAATCACTGGAAGAGGACATCATGTTTGGCGAAGTAGAGGGTTAACGAGGGTGAGTGAGACCCTAAGTGAGATGGATTGGCACAGTGGCCACAAGGATCGACTAGAACATGGCGGCAATTGTGAGGATGCCGTAGGACCAGGCAACATTCCGTTCTGTTGTCCATGGGGTCGCCATGAGTCAGAGTCGATCCCACAACAGCTAACAATACTGTCACCTTGTCCGTTACCAAAGAAATTCTTGGTCCGTTGGATGATTCTGTCCCAGGACTTGAACGTGAAAGCATGCAGAGGATCTGGGTTAGCTGAAATATGGCAGCAACAAGAAGTGTGGCCACAGTAGTGTCCTCTTCAGGAGCAGTGTCTTATGAGACTTCTGCTGCACTGGGTTCCTGCTGCCCTGCGTTTGCCGGTCCTGTCCATTCATAGAAGCTGATCCTCTTGCCCTCTGGTCAATTTTGTGAGCTTCCCTAGACCTTTATAATAACCTCCTTTATTTTTTGATAGCTATAATCAGTTTCTGCTGTTTGCAGCCCAAAACCCTGATGGATACACTATCCTTCTAGAACTTTTCCTGGACACACCATCTGTACATCCATGAATACATTGTTTCTGTAATGGGAACGTAATGTTGTGCAACCTGTTTTCTTCTTTAATAGTGAAACCTTCTCCAGGGGTTGATTCCTCCGGATGGGTCTGTTACAGTGATAGAATCATGTAACAATTATAGAATTTTAGGATAGGACTTTCTTCCTGAACATGAGGAATTACTTCATTAGATTTTCTATTAGATCTTAGCTTGATAGGCTGAAGTGAAGTTTGCTTTTCTCTACCCATCCTTGAGACAGTACTTTGAAACATTCTTTTGAGCCTTCCAGTGGTTTGAAACTTTGAATCTTCTCACTTGTTGGACTTAATCCCAAACTTGTATAAAAAATAAATCCACAGATGAGGACAGAAGATTTTTAGAAATTTAGTATTTATTTTACAGTGGTAGTTCTTAATCTTTTGGGGGTCATTCATTATTCTGGGAATCTGATGCAAGTGATACTCTCTCCTCAGATAAATTCACTGTGTTATCTATTACATAACAAATTACCCCCAAGATTTAGTAGCTTAAAACTACAAACTTTATTATCTCAGTTTCTATAGCTCAGGAATTCAGGAATAGCTGGTGGTTCTATCTCGGTCCCTCATGAGACTTTGGTCAAATGAAGGCTTGACTTAACGTGGAGGATTCACTTCCAAGATAGCTCACTCACATGGCTGTTGGCGGGAAGCCTCAGTTCCGTGCTATGTGGACCTCTCCATAAAGCTGCTTGAGTGTCCTTAGGACATGGCAGCCGGCTCCCCCCAGAGAGAGTGATCCAAGAGAGGGAACAAGGAGTTCCAGCAAAATGGCGCTCTAGGCAGAAGCACCACGCCGTCCCTCCACGGCAAAGATCTGAACAACTAAGCCGAACAGAGAATACAACAATCCTGAAACCCTAAAACATCAAATGGGAGATAAAGAACTCAGCCAAGCACCAAATGGAGTGAGAAAACTGACAGAGAGCAGAAAGCGAGGAGAGATTCACGCAGAGGTCCCCTACCAGCTAACGCAGCGCGGATCCGCCATCTTGGACTCCTATCGGAGACCAGCAAACGGGGTACGAGAAAGCAGCCTTACGGAGCTTCCAGCAGGAGACACAACAACCGGTAATTGTTGATATACACTTTCCCACCCCCCACCCTTCTTCACCCCGACTCGGCCTCCTCTGCTTCCCACGGCCACAGTCTCTTGACCGGGAAACAGTGGCTGCTTGGATTCCACACACCCGAACGGGTGGCTCTCTGAGTGCCATTTGTTGGCTGCTGGTGTTGCTTTTTTTCCGCTTCTTTTTATTTCTTCCTTGCCTCTCCCCACCTTCCCCTCCTTTCGCTCTAGTACCTCGCTCTGTGCGCCATCTTTGCTTCTTCCTGAGGGGCTGCAGAGCTCCGGTAATTTGTGATATACGCTTTCACACTCTCTACCCTTCTTCACCCACACTCGGCCCCCTCTGCTTCCCACGGACACAGTCTCTCGTCCAGAAACACTGGCCCACACTAGCTGGCTCTCTGAGTGCCATTTGTTGGCTGCTAGTGTTGTTTTTTTTTTCTGCTGCTTTTGACTTCTTACTTGCCTCTCACCACCTCCCCCTCCCTTTTCTCAAGTACCTGGCTCCATGCGCCATCTTTGCTTCT